GTGTCTCGCTCTCCTCTCATTGCTGGGACAAAATACTCAACACCCAAAATGAAGGGGAAAAAAGGTTTATTTCGCTCTCATCAGTGGAGGTTTCAGTCTGTACTCAGCTGGCCATGCTCAGCTGGCTCCACGGCAGAGGAGGCACATGGCAGACAGCAACCTGTCAAGGCAGCAGCACAGAGCAGAGAGCAAAGGGAGGCGCAACAGCTCTGGCAGCTTGCTGTAGCCTCTCACCCCTTCCTACATTGTAATGCAAAGTAACCACCCCAGGGCCTGGGTGTAGCGCTCACACCTGCAACCCTAGCATTGGATCAAAAATCAGTCACAAACTGCATGAGGCTGGGGGCGGGGGTACAACTGGACACAAACCATAACAGCTTGTCAAGGCCGCCTAACAGCCCTTGCTTTTCTTAGCCTTGTTAACTGCTTCTTAGGGGGACACTTGTTTCCATGTGAATGGGCCAAACTAATCAGGTTCCAAAGGAAAACTTAATCCCAGGCAAGAGTTCCTCTTGCCTGCCTGGTGGGGAGCAAAGACGAATGGGCCACATTTCCACCCCCTCTAGTGAGTCCACTCAGCCCTTGCTGTGCTGGTGGAAGTTCTCAGAATGCTGCTACCAGGAAGAGGCTTGGCAGGAGGGGGTAGGGGCGGGAGGACCCTGCTGGCACAAGAGCTTGATGGAAGCAGGGAGGCGGCAGTGCGCTGGAGATGAGTCTGAGAAGCCACAGGGTCTGTGTGCAGCCTTGGTGGATCCTCGGAAGAGCAGGGGCTTTGGGATGCTGGGGCAGAGGGTGGCTGGGCCGTGCAAGCAAGCCTGGAAGGGTGGGGAGGGGAGGTAGGTTGATCCAGCGCCCCAGGGGTACAGCCTGGGAACTGAGTAGCAGGAAACCTGAGCTTAGTTTCCCCTAATGGGAGGCTTCGGGTGCCATCTGTCCCTCATGAGACCTATCCTCCTGAAGACACCTCCCCCACCCACCCCCACCCAGTCCTCCATCAGAGACTTGCTCCTGGTTTTCTGCAGGGGCTGCAAAAGGCAGCCCCAGAACACATCCCAGCTGGCTGCCTGGAGGCCAGGATTGGTGAGCTTTGGAGGCAGGGCCAGAGGGAGAAGGAACCCTGTGTCATCCTGGCTTCTGGGGTATGTGCTATGAGTTGGCCAGGGAGGCCCCTTTCCAGCTTCATCTCCTCACCACCACTTTCACTCTGCCCTTTCCTCTAGGCTTGGCCTGCCCCTCTGCCTCTGACTGTTCTTTCCCTGTCCCTGGCTGTCACTCCATTTCTTGCCTCCCTCTACCGTGTTCATCCACCCTCCCTGCTCCATGTTTCTGTGTCCTCTGTCTCAGGTAGAATGGTGCCCTCACACCTGCTCTGACCTCCCTTTGTTGCTCCTCCCTTTCAGATTGGGCTGGTGGCCATCCTGGCCTCCACGGTGGTGGCCATGTCGGCAGTGGCCCAGCTGTGGGAGGACGAGTGGGAGGTGCTGCTCATCTCCCTGCAGGTGAGTGGGGACAGAGGTGGGAAACACTGCCCTAGGGCTCTTGCAGCAAACAGTGCTTTTTACTACTTCTGCCTCTCCACATCAAGTCCTAGAAAGGGGAAGGGAGGGGGCCAGAGCCACACAGCAGGAGACCGTCAGGGAAGATGCTGCAACCCAAGGCCACTGAATGGAGATGAGGCTGTTGGCCATGGGGAGGGGTGGACTGTGGGTACGCTGGTGACCTGACTTGGGCAGGGGTGGGAGCCCAGGACCTCCTTGCCTCCTCCTATATGCAGGGCACATCGCCATTCCTGCACTTGGGAGCCCTGGCTGCGGTCACGCTGCTCTCCTGGATCGTGGCAGGACAGTTTGCCCGCGCAGAGCGGTCCTGTGAGTACCCTGAGTAGGGTCTGCCCTTCTGAGGTACCAAGGCCAGCTTGGCCTGCTGTCACTGGGACTTTACCTGGGTGGGTTGGGGATGAGGTGTTGCCCTGCATTCAGCATTGGGTCTGACTCCAGAGTGGCCGCAGATGCCACTGAGTTTGCAGTCTCTGTCAGCCTCAAACTAGACTCCTCCTCCGAGTGTCCATGTCTGAATGTGTATGCGAACTAAAGGTGGGTCTGCCTTCCTAGCGAGACTGGCACAGACTACCTGGCCCACTTGTGGTCGGGCCTGGCAGGTGCCACATGGCTCGCAGGTGGTGCTCATGGTCCGTGTCTGCAGCTTCCCAGGTGACCATTCTCTGCACCTTCTTCACCGTGGTCTTCGCCCTCTACCTGGCCCCTCTCACCATCTCCTCTCCTTGCATCATGGAGAAAAAGGACCTGGGCCCAAAGCCTGCCCTTATCGGCCATCGTGGGGCACCCATGGTGAGTGCCACCTGAGGATTCTCATGCATGGGGTGGGTACATCTGCCGTGGGCTGGGGGATCTGTGGGCGAGCAAAATGGTGATCAAAATTATTATAAGAGCAAGAGGCAGCATTATTAGCTCTTTGGGGAGGTACATGGGAAGGAATGCCACAGAGACCTGGAGAGCCCTGTGGGGTCCCAGGAGCCTCCAGAGATGCAGGAGGATTTGAGCCTAACATCAGCTCTTGGTGTAAGAAGACCAGGAGGGTGCTGCTGGCTCAGGGCTGGGGCTGCTACAGGTGGCAGGAAGCAGGCAGGCCACGGCGACAGGTAGCAAGGGGATGGGCCAGGCCCTGGGACAGAAGAAGACAGTCAAACTCGTTGGATGAGGAATGGGAAA